AAATTCCGCAGCTGTTTATTGGTCGCACTGCTCACGATGGCGATGATGGCTGCACTGGAAACTGGAAACAGAGAGGCTCTTTGTTCTTCTTAGCTGAACTTCTTGCACTGTTCATCTTTCCTCTTTTTCTTTCCACATTAAAGAGAAAAAGAGGAAAGTGAACGGTGCACAGAAGTTCAGCTGGAAAGAATGGACCAATGAAACAAGATTATGAAATAGTGTAGAGAAACGTAGTATTACTTTTTTGTAAAGATTTTTATATTTTTAAAATTTTTCCTCCTTTTTCTTTTTAATGACTAATAATTGTATATCTATTGTATATATCTATTTTATTTTGAATACAAAATGTAGAACTACAATTAAGGAATAAACCTTACAAATCTGTTTTTTGCGGCTAAACTTTTTGATCTTTTTCTCCTTTCCTTTTTTTCTTCTATTATATACAATTTTTTTATGCAAGAAGTGAAAACGTATCTTCATTTTGAAGTATCAAAAGGGTCAAAAGTGAAATAAAGTATAGCCGTCTCACTCTAACTTATTGCACCAGTATTCACCAGAACAGGTGGAAAAAGAACAGACCTAAGAACGATTTTAGGAATGAAGATAATTTGTTGACACTTCAAAATGAAGAAATAACGAGAAAATAGCACTATGAATTTTTTTAAATTCAATTAAAAGATTTTATAACTTATGAATTTGCATTTCCTCTCTTAAAATAGAAATCTTACAAGATACCTTGGGAATCTTGGGATGTGACATGTGCAACTGCATTAGATTTATAGTAAACTAAATATATTAACGATGGAAGTGTATGGCATCGACGAAGAAGACGAAGACGTTGTGATACAAGTATGATAAATCCATTCCTTAAATTTCTTAAACTCGTGTTTTAAAAACATATTTGCTGTCCTAAACAAAGGAGGTTATATTTACATTTATACATATTTTTTGCCACTTTCCACAAAGCTAAAAATGTTGGGAAAGAACAGTAGCTCTTTTTCAATTAAATGTATAATTTTCATTTTCGAAACACATTATTGATTTAACACAGAGATAATCGTAGGTTAAGAATAATGAGAAGCACAATAAGTTTAGAATAAGGTTAGAATAAGGTTACAAATAATATATAATAATTGAGACTAATTACTCCAAAAAATTTAATATCTTCATCTGTGTTACAGGGTAATGCTCTTCACGAGCATCTTACAAAATTAGGTTACACAGACTTTGAAACTGTTCCTGTGTCTAAGAGAACGGACTTCAAACGAGAGAATTATTTGAATATTGTAATAAACTTTTATATTATATATAAAACACATATACAAGAGATTGATAAATTGTATATAATATTCTATGTATATAACATTTCTAATTTTTCCAGGATATTAAGAAAATTGCAAAAAAGATTTACACAAAATTATTTTTTCTTTATTCTTGGATGATAGAGGTATTCTGTTTTGAAAAGAATTATATAATGGCATTATATATATTTAATTGTTTTCTATAATTTGTTTTGTGTACTGTTTTTATAGGAGAAGAGCAATTCTGAAAAACAATTGAAAGTTATTTTGAATGCAGAAACTTTGTTAAACGACCATTTTTCTGTGATTAATAGCTTTATAACTAAGTGCAATAATAATTCTAAAAGGTAATTATAGAATAAGTCTAATAATTTTTTAAGTTATTGTAATTATAATTTTTTAGTTGTTATAGAAACTATCGAAAAAGATAGCTAGTAAATCGTTTTTATGCTAATATTTATGTAATATTTCTTTTATAGAATTTGCAAAATATTTCTTTTATAGAATTTGCAAAATATGCGACTGATTAAAATTGATGTTTTTCATTTAATAAAAAATAAAATTATTCATTTTACAGAATAACACTGCAAGAATTAATTATGGCTGGAGCTGTATTAATCTCTTCAACATACATTCCATGGTGTAAATGCAAGATATTGCCAACATTATATACATCATTTGCAATTTGTTGCATCGGTTATATGAAATATTTACGTTTTTATGCAAAAAGAAATCTAGAACATGTCATATTATCACAAAATGAACTTTTTCTCATATGTAAAGATGGCCTTAAGATTGTACGACGTGATTATAAAATGAAATTGGATTCTGGATCATATCTTCAACAATTTTCGTAAGTGTACAAAATCTGTATGAATTTTAAAAAATATTAATATTTCGTATGTGTACGTACGCAAAGATTTAGATAAAACATTATTGTTATCCTACTTCTGTTTGTTTGTACTAGTCATTTCTTAGGTGAAAAGGTGCAACATTTAGAATCTCTAAAAGATGCTTTAATAAAATTTATGGGAAATATTTCCTATCTATATTACAAATGTTCACTGTCAATTACAAAATTACTGCCGCAAGATGCACTTAGCGAAGAGCTATTTACAAAATTCGAGAGTAACTCATTTGAAACATCCGATGAAATCAACTATCAATCATTAAAAGTAAATAAATAATGAAATTTTAATATATATATTTTATGATAACTTTTTTTAAATATATTTTTTTATAGAAATTGTACAACATCTATCTTCTGGTACAATCAGAAATGTTATATTTATTAGCTATTGCATATGATAGCAATACTTGGATAAAGTCCTGCCAGAAAATTCCTGAAACAGAATTAGCTTATATAATTCATATTTTAGCTAAAGAATTGGCAGCATATAAAGTTAAATTGTCAGAAATTATTAATGCGTATCGTACTTGCAAAACAGAACCAGTTCGATATAAGTAAGTTGAAAGATATGTTTATTACAGTTGTATTTATGTTTATTACAATAGTAACATATTATAAGAGATTTTTTTATTAGGACACAGAACAAAGCTAAGTGGCACGATCCAACTATTCAATTGGATTTGGCATCCTATAAACTGCAATTAGCCTACAATCAAGTTTTTTCAACATTTAAAGATATTGATGATTGCATTAATCAGGATATTGGTATCGATAATGAAACAGCTGATACACTGATGCAAAAATTAGATAAAGCTTTCAAGGAGATTGACACGGCTAAGAGTCTGGCAGAATTTGTCGTCCTGTTGATGGCAAGATCAAAAATCAGTGATCTGAGGAGCAATCAACCTGTAATCGATGATACGACGATCAATCAGAATCCTGATTTGCCAATAATAATCGATTCAGATCCACAGATACTTGACGAGGTATTTGAAGAGTATATCAAAGAGGAATATTTAAAACCATTAGACGAAGATACAGATGAATACTCATTAGAGCAACGAAAGTTGGATAAACTTCTAGCGAAAAATTTTATGAGCGAGTTGAAAGAAGCTTTAGTTGATAAACATAAGTCTATGTCTGAACGAGAGTCCAGGGCATTACAACGTATATATAAAAATATATCAAGGAATCCTGTATCGAGTACTGAAGAAAACGAGGATTATCAGGTTGCACCTGCTCCACCTCCAATGCCTCCTAACTACATATGGTCATTGTCATCAAGCGACAATAATTTAGATCGTAGAAGAGTGATTTCTCCTATTTATAAAATCAAAAATGATAATTCGTCTGTCCATGAAAAAATCAGTGAGTCAGATGAAAACGAACTGAACATAAGAGAACTGGAACAAAAGAACATTTTTAATAAATCTTCCATCGAAGTCTGTGAGATTAGAGATGAAGAATTAGTTACATCTATGCCACAGATTCTTCTCGAAACCCAAGCCGTGCAATTTATCACAAAACTACCACCACCTTTTCTTCACGAGGAAACATTCATAGGAAGTGGCGAAAATTCTGAGGATGAGATTATAAATAATGCAAGTGATAATGAGGAAAATAATGTGCGTGAAAACTCTAAATAATAAAGAGATAAGTTTGATTTATATTTTAAACTGGTTAATTTTCCACAGCTCTCTATATATCTCTCTCTATCTTTCTTTTCAAATTCTCGTTTTAAATATTGAATAAAGTACATTTACACATTTAATGATAGTGAAAAACATTTACTTACCTTAATTAGGATCCTTATTTTATAAGCAGAATTTTTGAATAGATATCAACAATTAACAAAAAAATCGAAATATTTTTTAACCGACTATTGCACTCGTTTCTCTTGCACTCTCATTTTTATGTTTTCTCTACAATCCTTACATCATGTTTATCATCATCAATAAAGCATCAAAGATAGACAATCTACAGATGAAAATTAAATTAATATATATATTTAAAGGATCATCTCAACATCGATTTTCTATAGTCAGTATAAACGCAACCATATTATATTTGGTCAATTCGTCGAATAATAAAACATAGTAATAATGAGTCATAATCCAACCAATTCGTCGGTTAACAATGAGAATTCGATTTTCTATAGTCAGTATAAACGCAACCATATTATATTTGGTCAATTTGTCGAATAATAAAACATAGTAATAATGAGTCATAATCCAACCAATTCGTCGGTTAACAATGAGAAAGGACAGTCAATGTGAATGGAAACTTTCTTTTATTCACACTCTCGCTGTCAACCGACGAATTGGTTGGATTATGATTCATTATTACTATATATTTAATTGTTCGACAAGTTGACTAACTGTAATATGGTTGCGTTTATACTGACTATTCAAAATCGAAGTTGAGATAATCCTTTAAACATGTTAATTTAATTTTTGTTATATGGGGTAATTATATATTTCTGCGACTGATGAGGACTAAGTATAGTCGAAACTTATCGGTGGAAAATTATATTCTGAAATAATAAATCTTGCATTGTTTGTCACATCTAATTATAGCTCGTTTAATTATTAATCTGGGTTACTATTTATTGATGTGTATATAAATTAAGTATATTTATACACGATAAATTTTATATCGACAATCGATAATGTCGATATTTATCAAATACCTTTGATCTTTCACTGATAAGAAAAATTAATTGTCCAGAGGCTCGATATTTATCGTTCAATGTAATTGTCAGCTATCGCATAAATTTGCAAAGTTGAAAGTGCAGATCATAGATAAAGCCTCAAACTTATCGAGCTCATTCCAAAGCCCAAAGAACCGCATAGTTCGTGACGTTCGTGTCAATTCGTGCGTGCTCGTGCCGCTCGTGTCGCCTTCGGTCGCTTGACAGTTCATTCCGGCGGCGGAGGGGGTCGGTGATCGTTCGCTCTACCCCTCCGTTGATCACGATCATCCACCGAAAAGCGATCCTAGAGCAGTAAGCGAGTGGTAGCGATCGAGTGGCAGGTACCAATCGACCCGGCATGGGCGATTCCTTGGACGGCTCCGGGGAACCGTCCCCGGAGTCGCAGAACGTAGCGATCGTCGAGTACCCGACGTTCGCCAACTATCTACGTAAGGCCGTTACCGTGCTGCTACCGGACGAGGATGTGGTGCCGCCCGCGTTCAGCCTGGCGCTCGACGACCGCTGTAACCAGGATTGCATCCGCAAGTTCCTCGGCGACTCGCAGGTCAGCTCGCTCTACGTGCAGAGGAGCTCGAGCAAAGGTAAAGTGCGAGATCGATCGATTATTATATCACCGTTCTCTCGTCATCGTTCTCGTTCTCTCCGGGAACGACGAGGATCGGCCGTCAGTCGGCGACCGGCGATGCGAGGCTCCTCCATTATCAAATACGTTAACTTGCCGCGTGCAACGGTACATTCACACGTATATGTGCATACACGATTTTATAGGTAGACGCATCCTGCAAAATCAATCGCGGCGCGTTCACGCCCCGCTCTCCCGCCAAATATGACTCATTCGAGCTGATGAGATCGATAAGTGCGTATCGGCGCATATCGATTAATTACGTGGGCGACGCACAATTCATTCCTTCGTGATCTTCATCTCGATTCCCATCGACATTCTCGACGTTCTCACGCGTGCTTGTATCACGGCTTGGCGAACGCGCAGTGGTTAACGCGTAGTTTGATAACAAATCTGTGGATTCTGCCGCGTTTGCGCTTTACTGCGCAGACACCGTCTACGTGTAATCTCCGTTAGATTTATAATCTTGGCGATAAACATCGCTCGTCTATTTTTATGTACTAATTATTGAATAATGAAATTTTATATGTATATGTATATATATATATGACTTTATTATACAAGATGTTTCAGAAATAGTTGGTCAAACTTTAAGAGCATATTCCACTCGTTGTAAGGATGAAAAAAAGTCATATAAACATGGGTTCGAAAACGCTTCCTTTCCAAGTTATAAACATTTTTTTTATTTTATACTTATATCTATATTTTATCTTCACTCTTAAATAAAGACTGATTCCAGTTCCATACAGACCTATCTAATAACTCTTTGTTTACTTTAGAAGGGTTTTTCATCCTTACAATGAGTGGAATATGCTCTTAGAGTTTGGCCAACTATTTCTGAAACACCCTGTATATCTTTTTAATACTCTAATGTTCTTTAGATGTGAATATACACTTTAGCAATCAAAATTTAAATATTTTAATCTCTATTTTGCATTCTAAACAAGATATGATAAATTCAAAATTTTTTATTTTTTGTTTTTTTCTGAAATTAACTGTCATTGTGATAATTGTTGAAAAACTGAAGTTGAATTAAATCCTTTATGTATTAACCAAGCACTCTCTCTTTACAGAAGAAGATAGTGGCGAGGGAGATGAAGACAAGGAGAATGCCACTTATTATATATCAAATGAGATACACTTTTCAAATCCAAAAATGGCCTCCCTAGTTCTAACAAAACGTAGTCTTGTTGTCGAGGCTGATAAATCCATTCATTCGCAAGTGCGTCTGATTACGTTCTCTGATGGGCCACCGTACGAAACTTTGCATGCGATTAGCAAAACCATGGCACCCTATTTCAAGAGTTACGTGAAGGAAACAGGTCGCGCCCATAGGGATGGGGATAAAATGGTACCATTAGTGGAGAAGAAGATTGCAGAACTTGAAATGGGGCTGCTGCATTTACAGCAGAATATCGATATCCCTGAGATCTCGTTACCGGTTCATCCGATTGTCGCGCAAGTTATTAAACAATGCGAGGAGGAGGGTCGTAAACCGAAAGTCGCAGATTTCGGCGACAAGGTCGAGAACTCGACATTCCTGAATCAGTTGCAGAACGGTGTCAACAAGTGGATAAAGGAGATCCAGAAAGTAACGAAATTGAACCGTGATCCGGAATCGGGTACGGCCCTTCAGGAGATATCGTTCTGGTTGAACCTCGAGAGAGCATTGCATCGCATTCAGGAGAAACGGGAGAGCATCGAAATCTCCCTGACGCTCGATATACTCAAGCATGGCAAGCGGTTTCACGCCACCGTCAGTTTCGACACTGACACCGGCTTGAAACAAGCGCTAGCTACCGTCAACGATTACAATCCACTGATGAAAGACTTTCCGATCAATGACTTGCTGTCGGCTACTGAACTTGAACGAATACGTAGCAGTGTGCAGCAGATATTCATGCACTTGAGGAAAATCAGAAGCACCAAGTATCCCATTCAAAGAGTGTTGAGATTGGTAGAGGCTATTTCGAGGGATTTAGGACAACAGTTGCTCAAGGTGCTGGGTACAAGACGCCTGATGCACATTCCATTCGATGATTTCGAGAAAGTCATGGCCCAATGCTTTGAAGTGTTCACCACTTGGGATGACGAGTACGATAAACTCACAGGATTGTTGAGGGACGTCGTGAAGAAAAAGCGCGATGAACACATGAAGATGGTATGGAGAGTACTGCCGGCGCACAAGAAGTTGCAGTCGAGGATGGAGCACATGCGCCGCTTCCGACGTCAGCATGAACAACTGAGAACTGTGATAGTCCGCGTGCTCAGGCCTACCGTACGCCAGAGCAGCAATACTTCCACGATGGAGAACGCTGATAACGACAACGTGAAGGTGGAATTCGCACTGGACGCCGCCGACGCCAATGCTATCAGCGAAGTTAACTTGGCGTACGAGAATGTAAAGGAAGTGGATTGTCTGGACATTACCAAGGAAGGACAGGAATCCTGGGACGCCGCGGTGCACAGATACGAGGAGCGTATCGAGCGCGTGGAAGCGCGGATCACCGCACACCTCCGAGATCAATTGGGCACGGCCAAGAACGCCAATGAAATGTTCAGGATATTTTCACGATTTAACGCGCTCTTCGTACGGCCGCATATTCGAGGCGCTATTAGAGAATATCAGACGCAACTTATACAGCGAGTCAAAGATGATATCGAGGCTCTGCACGAAAAGTTCAAGGTATCAAATGAATATTAAGATCACTTTAACTTTAGACAGACTTGCAGCTTAAATAAATGTATACATCTTAATAACTGCGATAAATTCTTTGTAGGTTCAATATGCGCAAAGCAAATGCTGCAGAATGAGTATGGTGAGAGATTTGCCACCTGTAGCTGGATCGATAATATGGGTCAAACAAATCGATTACCAATTGACAATGTATTTAAAACGCGTCGAGGATGTCCTAGGTAATCTCTCTTTCAATTTTTGAACTGTAGAATATATTTTCTCAACTTAACGTTATATGCGTGTATTTAGGCAAAGGATGGGAAAGTCATATCGAGGGTCAGAAACTGAAAGCCGACGGAGATAGCTTCCGTATGAAACTGTCAACGCAAGAGATTTTCGATGACTGGGCACGCAAGGTGCAGGCACGAAATCTTGGTGTAACTGGACGTATCTTCACAATCGAGAGCGTGCGTTCAAGAACAGGGCGCGGCAATGTGCTGAAACTGAAAGTGAATTTCCTTCCTGAGATTATTACGCTATCTAAAGAAGTGAGAAATTTGAGAAACCTCGGATTTCGTGTGCCTCTACCTATCGTGAATAAGGCTCACCAGGCGAATCAGTTATATCCCTTCGCTATCAGTCTCATTGAAAGCATCAGAACTTACGAGAGAACATTGGAGAAGGTAAGATAATTGATAATAATTTCTTAGTGATCATTATTCGGAAGTTAAACAATTTCTAGCAAATGATCGATTTCTTTTTTTTCTGGATGTTCCGCATTTTATAAATTACAATAATATAGGCAACTTAAAGCTTTAACAGTCCGAACAAAACGATAGATTACGCTAGGGTAATAGTGCCAGGTATTGGAGGGTAAATGTTAGAATAATTGATATCTCTAATTTCTTGGATCTCCAATATTTTTAGCTTACCAATCGGAGTCCCCATTGTCCCGCACTAAAGGTAGTCATACTTGATGCTTCCAGGAATCTTGCCTATATATGCAAATGCATTTTTGTCTGCCTGCTTAGCTATTGTAGATAAATCTGTAATGCAAGATAACATATAATTTATTTTTTTTTTACTGATTTATATCTTTAACGAATGTTACGTCAATTATTTTCAAATACATGTAGGCTTGTACGGATGTGCGGGAGGTCTGAAGCTACAAGCATTTTTAAATTACTTAGAAATTTCATAAATATTCTAAAGGAGAAAATGTAAACCAAAGTTTTAAATGAAACTAATTCGTATAAAGGCAGATATATATGCAATTATAAATTTGCAATATAAATCTATTTAAATTTTAACAAATGAGGCTATCCGCATATCCGGAAAGTTGCTTGGAGGCAATACATATATAATTGTTTCGTCTATTGATATGAATATACCAATTATCATAAATATTATCACATATGACTACATTATCTATATTAAATTTTTAAGTATGCATATTCCTGAGTTCGGTATTGAATGATAACTTATAATTTATGTCGTAAAATTGTATTGAGATTACGCATTGCAAATTAAAAAAATAATGTAACAAATCTCTTCTTAGATCGAGGACAAAGCCAGTATTATTCCTTTAGTCGCTGGTATGCGTAAGGATGTCTTAGCATTGATTTCCGAGGTAAGTCATCGCTTTATATAAAATTTATGATATATTCACTATTCTTTATTTGCTTTCTATATATCATGTAGTTTCTAATATTACAACTGTATTGATTGTCTATATAGGGTATCGCGCTAGTTTGGGAGAGCTACAAACTCGATCAATACGTGCAGCGTTTGTCGGATGCTGTCGTGTCGTTCCAAGAAAGGGTCGAAGATCTTTTAGTTGTAGAAGAACAATTAGATGTGGATGTTCGTTCTCTTGAAACGTGTCCTTATTCCGCAAACACATTCGCCGATATACTGTCAAAGATACAGAAATCAGTAGATGAATTATCTCTGAAGAATTATTCCAACTTACATATCTGGGTGGCAAGACTCGATGAAGAAGTGGAGAAAAATTTGGCTGCCAGATTGGAAGCTGGAATAAAAGCGTGGACTGATGCCTTAACCGGTCACAAAAAGGAAGTAGATCTGAGTATGGACACGGACGCTCCTACACAGCCGACGCATAAACCCGGCGGCGATCCTAAAATTCAAAATCAGATCCATGAAGTCCGAATTACCAATCAGACTATGTATTTATATCCTAGCATCGAAGATGCAAGGTTTCAGATAACGCAACAATTATTTGCATGGCAAGCAATTGTTACTTCGCAGGTCCGTCTCCAAAGCTCGAGATATCAAGTCGGACTGGATAAACCTGAATCAGGCACATACAGAAATTTGCTTACAAAATTACCTACTGGAAAGCAACCGTTGGAGGCAGCATACGAAGCGGTTGAATCCAAGATGAAGGATGTTGCAGATTATGTCGATCAATGGCTACGTTATCAAGCTCTTTGGGATCTGCAGCCAGGCAATCTTTATGGCAAATTGGGCGAAAATATTAACTTATGGATGAAGTGTCTCAACGACATAAAGAAGACAAGAACTACCTTTGATACTTCCGACACAAGACGTGAATTTGGACCTGTGATTATAGACTTTGCGAAGGTGCAGAGTAAAGTATCCCTAAAGTACGATTCGTGGCATAAAGAAACTTTGGGTAAATTCGGGACACTTCTAGGTAACGAGATGGCGAGCTTTCACTCTCAAGTATCGAAATCTCGGAGCGATCTAGAACAGCAATCCATCGAAGCAGCTAGTACATCCGATGCAGTCGGTTTTATAACATATGTGCAATCTCTGAAACGTAAGATGAAAGCGTGGGAGAAACAAGTAGACATATATCGCGAAGGTCAAAGAATACTCGAACGTCAAAGATTTCAATTTCCATCTTCTTGGTTGCACGTGGATAATATAGAAGGAGAATGGGGTGCATTTAATGAAATAATCAAACGCAAGGATACCAGTATTCAAACTCAAGTGGCGTCCTTGCAAATGAAAATCGTCGCTGAAGATAAAGCGGTTGAAACAAGAACTACCGATTTCCTCAGTGACTGGGAAAGGGGTAAACCGGTGGAAGGCCATTTACGACCAGACGATGCTCTGCAACAGCTGCAATTATTCGAGAGTAAATTCGCTAGGCTTAAAGAAGAGAGGGATAATGTAGCCAAGGCCAAAGAGGCATTAGAATTGCAAGAACCAGGTGGAATATCGACCAGCGAGGATAGAATGCAGGTGGTATTTGAAGAGCTACAGGACTTGAGAGGAGTTTGGTCAGAATTATCAAGAATATGGGCACAAATTGATGAAACGCGAGAGAAACCTTGGCTTTCTGTACAACCGCGGAAATTGCGCCAGCAACTGGATACAATGATGGCGCAGTTGAAGGAACTTCCAGCGAGATTGAGGCAATACTCGTCTTACGAATACGTAAAGAAAATGTTGCAGAGTTATACGAAAGTGAATATGCTGATTGTAGAATTGAAATCTGACGCGCTCAAAGAAAGGCATTGGAAACAATTGACAAAGCAGCTCAGAGTAAACTGGGTATTAAGCGAGCTTACTCTCGGCCAAGTCTGGGACGTAAATCTTCAAAAAAATGAAGGTATAGTTAAAGATATTATTCTTGTAGCTCAGGGCGAAATGGCACTCGAGGAGTTCTTGAAGCAAGTACGCGAGTCATGGCAAACATATGAATTGGACTTGATAAATTATCAAAATAAATGTAGACTGATACGTGGTTGGGATGATTTGTTCAATAAGGTGAAAGAACATATCAATTCAGTGGCAGCTATGAAACTATCGCCATATTATAAGGTATTTGAAGAAGAAGCTTTAACATGGGAAGAAAAATTAAATAGGATTAATGCTCTATTCGATGTATGGATAGACGTACAGCGACGATGGGTTTATCTCGAAGGCATCTTCTCCGGTAGCGCAGATATCAAGACATTATTACCAGTGGAAACATCTCGTTTCCAAAGTATTAGTTCCGAGTTCTTGGGACTGATGAAGAAAGTCTCTAAATCCCCTATGGTTACAGACGTACTGAACATTCCTGGCGTTCAAAGAGCGCTCGAACGTCTTGCTGATCTTCTTGGCAAGATACAAAAGGCACTAGGAGAATACCTAGAAAGAGAACGAACTTCTTTCCCACGATTTTACTTTGTCGGCGACGAGGACTTGTTAGAGATTATTGGTAATAGCAAAAATGTTGCAAGGTTGCAGAAACATTTCAAAAAAATGTTCGCCGGCGTAGCAGCTATTTTATTGAACGAAGACAACACGATTATCACCGGTGTTGCTTCACGCGAGGGTGAAGAAGTTATATTCCAGAATCCGGTATCTACAGTCGATCATCCCAAAATCAACGAGTGGTTGTCGCTTGTGGAGAAAGAAATGCGCGTAACGCTTGCCTCAAGCCTCGCGAAAGCAGTACAAGATATTAAACAATTTAAGGACGGAAATATAAATGCACAAGCGTTTATGTCCTGGTGCGATAACTATCAAGCTCAGATAATAGTTCTAGCTGCACAAATTTTATGGTCAGAAGACGTAGAAGCGGCTCTTCACGAAGTGCAAGCAGATCCGAGCAAAAATTCGTTGGAAAGAGTTTTAATACAAGTGGAAGGCACGTTGAATGTCCTGGCTGATTCTGTTCTTCAAGAACAGCCACCTTTAAGAAGAAAGAAGTTGGAACATTTAATCAACGAATTTGTACACAAACGCACTGTTACCAGACGATTAATCGCTAATAGAGTTTCGAATCCAAAAGCCTTCGAATGGCTGTGCGAAATGAGATTTTATTTTGATCCTAGGCAAACGGAAGAGCTTCAGCAGCTTACAATACATATGGCAAATGCTAAGTTCTTCTATGGATTCGAATATTTGGGAGTACAAGATCGGCTGGTTCAGACACCGTTGACCGACAGATGTTACTTAACAATGACGCAAGCATTAGAAGCTCGACTTGGTGGTTCACCATTCGGACCTGCTGGTACAGGAAAGACTGAATCTGTGAAAGCATTAGGCCATCAGCTCGGAAGATTCGTATTGGTATTTAATTGCGACGAAACATTCGATTTCCAGGTAAATACAAAAATTAGCTTAATAATATTAGTAAAGAGAAATGTATAATTTATGTTGTTATTTCTTATAGGCAATGGGTCGTATATTTGTTGGTCTCTGTCAAGTGGGTGCGTGGGGTTGTTTCGATGAATTTAATCGTTTGGAAGAACGAATGTTATCTGCCGTTTCTCAACAAGTGCAGACGATTCAGGAAGCACTCAAGAGTCAGATGGAAGGCAAGAAAGAAGGAACCCTCTGTGTCGAATTGGTTGGAAAGCAAGTTAAAGTCTCCACCGATATGGCTATATTCATCACCATGAATCCCGGATATGCCGGACGATCCAATCTACCTGACAACCTGAAGAAACTTTTCAGGTCGCTTGCTATGACCACACCTGATCGGCAACTGATCGCCGAAGTAATGCTCTTCAGTCAAGGTTTCCGATCAGCAGAAAAATTGGCGTGTAAAATTGTGCCATTCTTCAAGTACGTATTTTATAGACATATAAGTATTTTTTGTTATTAGCAAATAATATTTGTTACATTATGGAATCTTTCTCTTTTCCTAGGCTTTGCGATGAACAACTTTCTAATCAATCCCATTACGATTTCGGACTACGTGCACTTAAATCCGTGCTGATTTCTGCCGGAAACGTAAAACGCGACCGTATTCAAAAAATCAAAGAAGGCATGCAGAACCGTGGCGAAATCAATATCGACGAAGCCTCGATCGCTGAGAATCTACCTGAGCAAGAGATACTTATTCAATCTGTTTGTGAGACGATGGTTCCCAAATTAGTTGCTGAAGATATTCCATTATTATTCAGTTTACTCAGTGATGTATTCCCCAACGTGAATTACACTCGCGCGGAAATGAAAGGTAAATTATATTCCAATAATGTGTATCTTTATAGATAGAGATGGTTAGACAAATCTCTATATAAATGTACGCATTTTATTCCAGGATTGAAGGATCAAATCAGGAAAGTTTGCACTGAAGAATACCTAGTTTGCGGCGAAGGAGATGAACAAGGAGGCGCTTGGCAAGAAAAGGTAATACATTTTTTTTTTATAGGAAAAAGGATGCTTAACACTAATTTTAACTATAATTTTAACTATATTCTCATACACTGTCAACACTAATAAAGAGATACTAATTATATTCGCTGAAGATAATAATTATCTCTTATGTATTTTACAAATACGTTAATAACATGCTTAAAGACTTAATTTTCATATTGTTTATGCATACTAAGGATTTGGTCGGTGAGACGTGGGTAGAGAAGGTGAGATAAATCTAAATATAATCGTGTCTATAATTATTAATATATTTTAGAGTCTTTCTTTTGTTATATCGTGAATTTTCTTTATTTCTTACACTCTTCTATTTATTATATTATTTATTTAGGTACTTCAACTATATCAAATTTGTAACTTAAATCATGGATTAATGATGGTTGGCCCGAGTGGATCTGGTAAAACAACGGCCTGGAAAGTGCTGCTTAAAGCGCTGGAGCGATTTGAGGGCGTGGAAGGTGTCGCTCATGTAATTGACCCCAAAGCGATTAGCAAAGAAACGTTGTACGGCGTGTTAGATCCAAATACTCGCGAATGGACGGATGGCTTGTTCACGCATATATTGAGGAAGATAATCGACAACGTCAGAGGTGAAATCAACAAGCGACAATGGATCATATTCGACGGAGATGTCGATCCGGAATGGGTCGAGAACTTGAACTCGGTATTGGATGACAACAAGCTTCTCACTTTACCTAATGGTGAACGCCTGAGCTTACCGCCGAATGTCAGAGTTATGTTTGAAGTACAAGATCTTAAGTACGCTACCTTGGCCACCGTGTCGCGATGCGGTATGGTTTGGTTCTCGGAGGATGTGCTGTCAACGGAAATGATATTTGAAAACTACATGCTACGACTACGAAACATCCCATTGGAAGACGGCGAGGAAGATAATCTTGGCAAAAAAGCTTCGGATAAGGAAGACACTTTATCACCTGCGTTAACGGTACAGAGAGAAGTCGCCAGCATTATGCAGAGTTACTTCGCGCCTGATGGTTTAGTAGTGAGGTGCTTGGAGTATGCCATGAAGCAGGAACACATAATGGACTTTACGCGCTTGCGAGCTCTTAGTTCTCTTTTCTCCATGCTAAATCAAGCCGTTCGCAATGTACTACAGTACAATCACTCTCACATCGACTTTCCTTTACCGGGCGAACAACTGGAACGTTACATGCCCAAGTGCTTGGTTTACGCGCTCTTATGGAGCTTTGCGGGAGACGCTAAATTAAAAGTTAGATCCGACTTGGGTGACTTTATTAGATCTATCACAACTGTACCTTTACCTTCTCAAAATAATATACCTATTATAGACTTTGAAGTAAACATACATGGTGAATGGTTACCGTGGAGCAACAAAGTTCCTCAGATTGAAGTAGAGACTCACAAAGTAGCTAGTCCGGATATTGTTGTACCGACTTTAGATACCGTGAGACACGAGAGTCTGCTATATACTTGGTTGGCTGAACATAAGCCTCTAGGTAAGTAATTACTTGTAACAAACATATGCATTATTGCTATATTATTTTTATTTATTTAAATATATTAAATATATAATTGTTTTTTTTTTGCGTATTTAGTGCTCTGTGGACCACCCGGTTCTGGTAAAACCATGACTCTATTCTCTGCTTTGCGAGCACTTCCAGACATGGAAGTTGTCGGACTTAACTTCTCTTCCGCGACGACACCCGAACTGTTACTCAAAACGTTTGATCACTATTGCGAATATCGTAAAACGCCTAACGGCGTTATACTCTCCCCGGTTCAATTGGGCAAATGGCTGGTTTTGTTCTGTGACGAAATTAATTTACCCGATATGGATAATTATGGGACGCAACGTGTGATCTCTTTCTTGAGACAATTAGTAGAACACAAAGGATTTTATAGAACCAGTGACCAGGCATGGGTCACTCTGGAAAGAATTCAATTTGTAGGTGCTTGTAATCCACCTACAGATCCTGGCAGGAAACCTCTCAGTCACAGGTTCCTGCGACACGTACCTGTTATTTACGTTGATTATCCTGGCGAAACCTCGCTCAAGCAGATTTATGGCACATTCACGCGTGCCATGCTCAGGTAAGAATTTTTTTGAAATATGAAATGTAGACTCGAGAAATGGGTTATTATTTTTACTTTATCTTCTTTTATTTACAATTTTCAATCAAACCTTATGTAAAAACGAAACGCATATGAACACTCGAACTTCATGCTAGTTGCAAATTGCTTTTAATTATGCATTATTCCAAGAGTTGTTTATTGTTTATATTTATTTGTAATACTCATGTCTTAAAATACATTCTTTTTTTTGTAATAAAAACATTATCCAAATATCAATTAATACAAGAGAAATTGTTCTGCAAAATTATAGACTGACGCCTAATCTGAGAGGCTATGCGGAACCTTTAACGAATGCAATGGTGGAGTTCTATCTGGCCTCCCAGGAGAGATTTACTCAAGACATGCAACCACACTATGTATACTCTCCACGTGAAATGACACGTTGGGTGCGTGGCATTTGTGAAGCCATTAGACCGCTTGATAATCTCTCCGTGGAAGGTCTAGTGCGTTTATGGGCCCATGAGGCTCTTCGTCTATTCCAAGACAGATTGGTGGAGGAGTCCGAGAGAGCTTGGACGAACAAGAACATAGATATTGTGGCTCTGAAACACTTTATGTCGGTTGATCGAGAAAAAGCATTGGCCAGACCAATCTTATACAGTAATTGGCTGTCAAAGGACTATGTGCCAGTGAATAGAGAAGAACTGAGAGATTACGTTCGTGCAAGGTTGAAAGTATTTTACGAGGAAGAGCTAGATGTGCCGCTGGTACTCTTCGATGAAGTTCTTGAACATGTTCTACGGATTGACAGAATTTTCCGACAGCCTCAGGGACACTTGTTGCTTATTGGTGTCTCTGGTGCTGGTAAGACTACTCTGTCGAGATTCGTTGCATGGATGAACGGCTTGTCTATTTTCCAAATTAAGGTAATTCCATACTGCTTTGTATCGTTTCAATAACAAATGTTATATTTAATATTTCAATTCAAATACATTCTTCTAATCGATCAATATCTTCGATAGGTACACAATAAGTATACTGGTGAAGATTTTGACGAAGATTTACGGCAAGTGTTGAGACGGTCCGGTTGCAAGGATGAAAAGATAGCCTTTATTCTCGATGAATCTAACGTGCTGGATTCCGGTTTCCTCGAACGTATGAATACATTACTTGCCAACGGAGAAGTACCCGGATTGTTCGAGGGTGACGAGTACACAACACTCATGACACAATGCAAAGAAGGTGCCCAGCGAGAGGGTCTAATGCTGGATTCCAACGAGGAATTGTATAAATGGTTCACCGGCCAAGTTATGAAGAATCTACACGTCGTTTTCACAATGAATCCAAGTACAGACGGTCTGAAAGATCGCGCGGCAACATCGCCTGCGTTATTCAACAGATGCGTGCTGAATTGGTTTGGCGATTGGTCGGACAATGCGTTGTTCCAAGTCGGCAAAGAGTTTACTAATCGTGTTGACTTGGAGAGACCCATGTGGAAGTGTCCGGACTTCTTCCCGTCCGTATGCTCGTTGATCCCATCACAACCAACACACAGGGATGCCGTGATAAATGCATGCGTTTACGTTCACCAAACTTTGCACAAAGCAAACACACGGTTGGCCAAGAGAGGCGCCAGAACAATGGCAATTACGCCGCGCCATTATTTAGATTTTATTAATCATTTCGTCAAGTTGTACCAAGAGAAGAGAAGTGACCTAGAAGAGCAACAGTTACATCTAAATGTCGGTTTGAGTAAAATTGCTGAAACGGTTGAGCAAGTAGAGGAGATGCAGAAGAGCTTAGCCGTTAAATCTCAGGTGAGCATAAACTGAACTTACAAGAAACGTTCTTTTGTTTTTGTAATGCTTTTTTTTTAATAGAATATAATCTTTTACACATCTATATTATCCTGTTTTCTTATAGGAACTGCAAGCTAAGAATGAAGCAGCCAATGCGAAATTAAGACAGATGGTCAAGGATCAGCAGGAAGCTGAGAAGAAGAAAGTGCAAAGTCAAGAGATCCAACAGCAATTGGCTATTCAAACAGTGGCTATAAATCAGAAGAGAGACGATGTCATGGCAGATCTTGCCTTGGTCGAGCCAGCTGTTGTTGATGCTCAAAATGGTACGTATCTTCAACAGTATTCTTTACTGTACTATTATACAAATTTGTTGATGAATATTTTTAAGATTAATCGAATAATTATAAAATCGTTCAAAATTTTATTTAAAAAAATAATTTAGAACGTTTTTGCATTTGTAGTAATATTAATTAATTATTGACATTGTAATATATTATGTTCAATATTATTGTGATAATATTCAAGAGATAATGAAAGCAGTACTGTACTGCGTATCTTTTGTTGTTGACGTTTTCGAATTAATGCCGTTTTAAAATTACGGTATAATTGTTTTCTGGAATGTTTTGCGCTGAGAAATATTTGCATTGAGTGTAGCCGTGAAGTTAATTAAGCGACAACACCTGGTCGAGATCCGATCCATGGCGAATCCGCCCGCTGTCGTAAAACTAGCTCTCGAATCTATATGCCTGTTGCTCGAGGAAAGTGCCACAGATTGGAAGCAGATTCGTACTGTTATAATGAAGGACAGCTTTATTCCTACTATCGTCAACTTCAACACCGAGTACATCACGTAAGGGAGCGACTACTGCGGGTCTGCTGAATGTTCAACGTTCGTGCGTGGGGTTCTAATATGAAACAAGCTATAATTTTTAACAGCTTGATACATGTCTCCCTTAATATATGTCGGTTTCAGCGTCGCTTACTTGCGTCGCTGCGTTATTACAACTGCAAGGAGAACGTACAGTAATAATATCTCAGGAGAAGATATTGCAAATGAAAATATTTTATTAAATCGTTTCCATCTCTTTGCAAATGTAAAGACATAACATGTATGTTACTTATGTTGCCTCTCTTAAGTCTAACATTATAGGTCAGCTATGCAGGAAGGCCAACATTTTCTCTCGCGTAACTTATCATAACTTTGCCTAATGCATGTGCATCTTCTTCTTTGTACTATACAATGTCCTCTTTGATTGTTCGTACAGCGGTGAAATCAATAAAGAAACAGCATTTAGTCGAGGTTCGCTCCATGGCGAATCCGCCGGCGATTGTGAAGGTCGCATTGGAATCTATCTGCTTGTTGCTCGGTGAAAATGCTAGCGACTGGAAATCTATCCGTGCGGTCATCATGAGGGACAATTTTATCAATACTATTGTCTCTAATTTCAGTACTGAGGACATTACGTAAGCATGCATTCATTATTTGTTTTCTTGTTGCGATATCGAGGGATCAGCTGTCACAAACTTAGATATATCGCGTACGGTGTAATATTAGTGCAAAGTTGCAATATTTGATTGCATTGATGATTAAAGTATTAGCTTATATTTACGACGATTTTTAAACGTATTTATTGATTTTATTTTTTGTTGTTATTCAATTATAAATATGTTAAAAATATGACATTTTCTTTAGATATTACAATGAATAAACCAATGTATATTTTATACTATTATTTAATTAATATCGTAACAAGTTTTGACATGAAACATATTTCTTATAAATGCACTTCACTTGGCAAGCAATTTTAAAACTGCTTTAAAAAATATAACGTGTATAATAACAAGTTTTAACGGCAAAAACTACTTGTTACAACTACTATTATTCTTTTACTGCATGTTAACAATGTTCGATTAATTTGTTACTAACATTAACTGGATCTTGTTTATTGAAAATAATGAAATTAATAGTATATAACAGCATAATATATGAAATGTGTATTAATGTTTTATTAGTAATTACAATAAGTTTCTAATTTTTTGCCGAATTAATAGTTTCTGATGATAAAAAAAAAGTAATTATACAAAATATTTTTATACGACAAAAATGGTATATTACAATAGAGTTAAAATATTATTTTATTCTCTAAAGACAACGAAGAGATTAATGAATTTTTTAATTAGTGATGAGGTGAGAGAAAAAATGAAGAACCGCTATCTGAGCAATCCCGATTATAACTTCGAGAAAGTGAATCGTGCTAGTTTAGCTTGTGGTCCTATGGTGAAATGGGCCATAGCGCAGGTAAATTTTATCGTTTAAAACTTGAAAAAGATGTATATATCATTATACAATTTTATACAATTTTCAAGAACATAAACCTTAAAGATAAATATATTTCCAGATTGAATACGCTGATATGTTGAAGCGAGTTGAACCCTTGCGCGATGAACTACATTCTTTGGAACGACAAGCAGAAACTAATAAACTAAAAGGCGAGGAAGTGAAAAATTTGATTGCTCAACTGGAGCAGAGCATAGCGTCATATAAGGAGGAATACGCTCAACTTATCTCACAAGCGCAAGCCATCAAAGCCGATTTGGAGAATGTGCAAGCCAAAGTGGACAGATCAATCGCTTTGTTAAAGTCCTTGGTTATTGAAAGGGAAAGATGGGAAGCAACGAGTGAAACATTTAAGAGTCAAATGTCGACGATAATCGGAGATGTTCTATTATCTTCCGCTTTCTTGGCCTATGCTGGCTATTTCGATCAACACGTAAGAGTTTCAGCTCTTCCTAATATTTCTTTCTTTTACATTTGGAGTTTTGTTAATTTACAACGAAATGTGTTTTATTTTAGTATCGCCAAAATCTTTTTACCACGTGGTGCCAACATTTGCACCACGCAAATTTACAATTCAGACCTGATATTGCGAGAACAGAATATCTTTCCAATCCGGACGAACGTTTGAGATGGCAGGCGAACGCGTTACCGACTGACGATCTGTGCACCGAGAACGCGATTATGTTGAAACGCTTTAACAGATATCCTCTAATCATCGATCCGTCTGGTCAGGCGACGGAATTCATTATGAACGAGTTTAAGGATCGGAAGATCACGAAGACCAGTTTCTTGGATGATTCGTTTAGGAAAAATCTCGAGAGCGCTCTACGATTCGGTAATCCCCTTTTGGTTCAGGACGTGGAGAATTACGATCCTATACTGAATCCTGTGTTGAACCGAGAACTGAGACGAACAGGCGGACGCGTACTGATTACACTCGGCGACCAAGATATAGATCTCTCGCCTTCCTTTGTCATCTTCTTGTCGACGAGAGACCCGACGGTGGAATTCCCGCCAGATATCTGCTCACGTGTAACGTTCGTTAACTTTACCGTTACTAGAAGTTCTCTGCAGAGTCAGTGTTTGAATCAAGTATTGAAGGCCGAACGTCCTGATATTGACGAGAAGAGATCCGATCTGCTTAAACTTCAAGGCGAGTTTCACCTAAGGTTGCGACAACTGGAAAAGTCTTTGCTGCAAGCGTTGAACGACGCCAAGGGCAAGATTCTCGACGACGATTCCGTGATCACAACTCTGGAAACTTTGAAACAGGAGGCCGCCGACATCAGCAAAAAGGTGGAGGAAACGGACAAGGTTATAGCGGAAATCGAAACAGTCTCACAGCAATACATGCCTCTTTCTCAAGCGTGTTCAAACATGTACTTCACGATGGACAGCCTCAACCAAGTACACTTTTTGTACCAATATTCGCTGAAGATGTTCCTGGACATCTTTACGTCCGTGTTGTCTCAAAACCCGAAATTATCTGGTATGTCGGATTATGGTCAGAGGCTTACACAAATCACGCGCGATCTATTTGCCGTCTGTTACGAACGAGTTGCCAGAGGAATGTTGCATACGGATAGGCTAACATTTGCTCTACTGCTCTGTCGTATTCATTTGAAGGGTGTACCCTCAGAATCCACCTATGACAGCGAATTTACATTCTTCTTGCGCGGTAAGGAAGGCGTGCTTAACATCCGAGCGCCTCCGGTACCTAATCTCAGTTCAGAACAGCAGGAAGCGATGATGCGCCTAAGCATAAGATTGCCCGCCTTCAAAAAGCTCGCGGAAAAAATCCAGGAGAACTCGGAATTCGGCGCGTGGTTACAGTCACCTACACCTGAGACATGTGTACCGAAGCTCTGGGATGAGGAGAAGCCGTTGTCACCCACAGGAACAGCAATGCATCAATTGCTGATAATACAAGCTTTCCGACCGGATCGTGTGATTGCAGCCGCGTCTCTAGTAGTGGCCTCTGCTTTCAACGAGTCCTTCATGCCGGCCGCGGAGGCTGAACTCGATTTTGCATCCGTTGTAGAGGACCAATTGAAAGCGACTGTGCCGGCTTTATTGTGCTCAGTACCGGGCTTTGACGCTTCGGGCAGAGTCGACGATCTAGCAGCAGAATTGGGTAAACAAATAGCCAGCATCGCTATTGGGTCAGCGGAAGGATTTAATCAGGCTGATCGGGCTATAAACATGGCTGTGAAGGCCGGCAGATGGGTGTTGTTGAAGAACGTACATCTTGCTCCGCAATGGTTGGTGCAGCTGGAAAAGAAGCTTCACAGTCTTCAGCCGCACGCTAGTTTCCGACTGTTCCTAACGATGGAGATTAATTCTAAGGTGCCGGTGAATCTATTAAGAGCTGGTAGAATATTTGTGTTCGAACCGCCTCCTGGCATACGAGCAAACTTGTTGCGCACATTTAGCACCGTTCCCGCTTCAAGGATGATGCGAGCACCCAATGAAAGAGCCCGTCTCTACTTCCTGCTCGCGTGGTTCCATGCAATCGTGCAGGAACGTCTACGTTATGCGCCGTTAGGCTGGGCAAAGCATTATGAATTCAACGAGAGCGACTTGAGAGTCGCCTGCGACACTTTGGATACATGGATTGAAACTACGGCTATGGGCAGGACAAATCTGCCGCCAGAAAAGGTGCCTTGGGATGCTCTAGTGACTCTTCTCTCTCAATGCATCTATGGTGGTAAAATTGACAACGACTTCGATCAACGTCTCCTGGCTTCTTTTCTGCGTAAACTCTTCACTCCGCGCTCATTCGAAGCCGATTTTGCCCTTGTCGCCAATATCGATGGCGCCCAGGGTAATCAAAGACACATCACGATGCCAGATGGCACTAGACGTGACCACTTTTTAAAATGGATCGAGTCACTCTCGGATAGACAGACACCTTCCTGGCTTGGCTTACCGAACAATGCGGAAAAAGTGCTTCTAACCACAAGAGGAACCGACTTGGTTTCCAAGCTTCTTAAGATGCAGCAGTTGGAGGATGAGGACGAATTGGCGTATTCGAACGAGGAGTCTCTAGATACGCCAAGAGAAGCTGAAGCAGACGGTCGACCATCTTGGATGAGGACCTTGCATAACTCGGCTTCCACTTGGTTACAATTACTTCCAAAGAATCTACCGACCTTGAAGAGAACAGTCGAGAATATCAAAGATCCATTATATAGATACTTCGAGAGGGAAGTCAACAGTGGAGCGAAATTACTTCAAGATGTTATCCACGACTTGGAGGATGTCGTATTAATTTGTCAAGTAAGTGTTTTACTTTTCTTCTGTTTTATTACTCTCAAATATAAAATGGCTAATGGACTAATATTGTTTAAATTAACTGTGTTTTATGTATTTTTAACAGGGCGAAAAGAAACAGACCAATTATCATAGAACGATGCTGTCTGAATTAGTAAAAGGTATTCTACCCGGTGGTTGGAGGAGATATACTGTGCCAAGAGGCTGTACAGTCATACAATGGATTACCGATTTTAGCCACAGGGTCTCGCAACTGCAGGAAGTCTCGCGTTTAGTCTCCCAAGGCGGTGCGAAGGAGATAAAGGTTTATTTCAATTTTCATAATTTCCTTACATTTGCTTCACTGTTCCAGATATTTTATCACTAAATGATATTAATTATATTATTTTTCAGAAATATTTACTCTTCATTGAATTCGCTCAAATTGATTCGATATAAAATTATTAATCGATTGTGATTGGTTTCAGAGTTTTCCAGTTTGGCTGGGAGGTTTGCTGAATCCTGAGGCTTATATCACCGCAACCAGACAATGCATCGCGCAGGCTAATAGTTGGTCACTCGAGGAATTGCAATTAAACGTAACTATCGGAGACGGCGATAACATTGCCACGGATGATTGTTCCTTTGCTGTTACCGGTTTAAAACTACAAGGTGCGCAATGTAAGGATAATCAATTGTATTTAACTTCGACTATCATGACTGATTTACCAGTCACTATGCTAAGATGGGCGCGATCATCTACGGAGGATATCAGAAAGGGCAAACTGTCCTTGCCGGTCTACTTGAACAGCACTCGTACCGAACTATTATTTACTGTCGATTTGAATATCGCTCCTAGTCAAGAACCGCACAGTTTTTACGAGAGGGGGGTTGCTGTATTAACATCCACCGCTTTAAATTAATAATTGCTTAATAATTAAAACTGTTTAGAGCAAATTGTATCGTATGTGAAGCAAAGAATGCTATCACGATAAATTAAAAACAGTTTACGACACATTGCATGTTACGTCGTTTGTAAAGAAAAGAAGGCATAGTAACATGTAACTCACTACAAACCTAAAGTATAAAAACATTAAAGAAATATATATTTTACACTGAATTGCTTTCGTATCTCCAAAAGATTTTGTGCTGATTGTATAATTAGGAACGAATACTTTCGACGTATAGAGCATAATTAAATGTACATCATTCATTTATAAGAATTAACATTTTCATGCAGGAGGTTGTAATATATATATAGTTTATTTAATATTGTATACGTTCAGATATAAATATGTATTCTGTAACAAAAGGATTACATTGCGTTTGCCCAGATGTAAATCGGTTTATAACATCTTACTAGCATCTAATAAAGTCGTATTATAATATCACTTTGTTTTCACTATTTGTAATCAACGTTCAGTTATACATATCTTATTTATTTTTTATGACCACTGTCTTTGTCGAGCCTATAACTTATTCTTATTTACCATTAAATTATCTTAATCCAAATTTTAATGTAACAGACTTCATACGTTTCTTGGAAAAATAAGCTTAGTCGAATTGCTCCGTTTTGAGAGATATAGTTTATAATTCTAAATAAATATCTCCACTGCTACAATTACAAAAGATCAAAGGGTAAAGAAATATGGAGCTCTGAAACCATAGAATTTGATTGCTGCCATATTTATTTCAGATAATTTGATGTATCTTTTACTTATAACGCGCGAGTATATGTACGCGTGTATTTGTAAACATTTAAATGCGTATATTCGCATGTAAATTATTATGCTTTCACTGTGGAGGAGAATTAGAGACTTGACCAAACGGTTATCGAACTAGATATGCACGGATCACCGTTTGATTGCCAGTTTTATAATTCTCGACAGTGAAAGCACAATATTTTATCGCCACTTTCTAAATAATAGAAACCTAGCAGTTGTTAATTTTTCTTCAATTTCTAACAATGCTTTAGGTCATTTGTGATACGACTCTAATCGGACAGCATAACGGTCATAGTCGGGGCTCTTCGAAACAGTTCGACCAGTAATTCCATTTGTTGATCCAACAATTCATTCCTTCTATCTTTTGTTTTTCATCCATTAGATAACTGCAGAAAAATATCCGGCAGTGCTGAAATTTGAACCGAAACCCAATCTCCTCTACACTATTAGACATCTGTCTTTGCCATGAGTCGCACAGTCCTAACCGTAGCTTCTGTTGTTTACTTCTATTTATTTCTTACAATTATATAGCAGCCAAACGGTGATCTGTGGGTAATAAAGTTAATAATTATCCTTATCTGACTTTAAATAAAGGAATAGAGTTTGTAAGCAAGATTACAGGGAAGAACAATATCAGAACAGTAAGCATTCAAGAAAATATATTTATTCCACATACATCCAGTACTCTAAATACGAGTAGCGGAATTGTGCTAGAATCCATACTGAACAAATCATTTAGGTTTAGACCATCGTTGATGTTCGATCATTGGATTGTCTTCTATCTGCCATTTGTATATTTTTGCACAATCAAAACATTGAACTTTGTCGCTTTCGCTTGTATAATAGAATTCAGCGAATTCCTTTGACTCCTTTCAGCTAAATAAAAAAATTGCTTGTCAATTTAATTCGCGATTACTAGAGTAGTTTTAATTGCGTTTATTTAGTCCGGAAAAACAATTCGGCGCGCAGTTTGAAAAAGACTACAATATGGTATATATGCAAGTACATGTATAGAATATATTAGTAATTCAAGATTGAATTATTTAAAGCAATAAAGATCCAGCTCGGACCGTAATAGGCAGTTACATTATAGTATTAATTGAGTTTTTCAAATATACGGTCAAAATATAAATACATTGTCCTTTCAGCTAGTTTTTGAATAAATACAGTTAGTTTTTGAAGCTGTCCAAACGGACTGATTCAAATCGATATTTATCATTACCATAAACATCTTTATATTATATCGATTTTAAAGAGTAATGATTTATTATAACATATGACTTGTATATTCAACGAATTGCTTAATAAAAAAAAATGCTGTAATAAAAAAATTAAAATATAAATCTTTAATTGCAAGGATCATATTACGTATGTTTTATTATCGTATTTTCTTTGTCTCTCAATGCAATTCTAGACAAACGCGTTATACATTACAGACATTTTAATAGAAAGGATAACTTGTTTTTTTCTTTATTGAGTGACGCAGTTAATTCGTGTGACATTTCTCTTTTATCGTGCTCTTTTTATTGTATGCACAAGTGGACATGCGAGAATCGTATATGGAATGTTATTGAGAGAAACAATCGCCTTCTTCATTTGAAATTTTATTTTGTATTATAATTGTCGTTATTACATGTGTATCTCTAAGTTTTGTACAATATAATGTCAAAGTTATTTTGCCCAGGGTACACGTCCAATTATCACAAATGCATTTTACTGCAGATATATAAAAAAAAAGTCAAACATCCGAAAGTTCGTAGAAAAATGTGAAAATATCTGTGCTGTAAATATGCATTCGTGATACAAAAATAAAATTAACATCTATCATAAAAATAAGTATACAAAAATATATATATATATATGTGTGTAAATGCATGTGTATATTTATATAATTGTGTACTAATAGAACAGAATAACTTTGGACAAAGAGAACGTAATTACGAGAAAATTTATATTAGAAAAACGATTACAACACGAAAATGCAAAATTTTTGGTCTCATTTTTTCTCATTGTCGAACACACACTATTACAATTCAATTTCATTAACACAAAAGAGATCGTCCATATCGAAAGAACGATTATTATATTTGATAGAACCCTATCTCCATGGATAATTATTGTATGTACGCATGTTTCTATACCAACACCTCATATTATTTTCTATATACTTGTGAAATGAAGCGAAATATGGTACTATAATATTGTTTCATTTTGAAATTATTTCAGATTATTCAGAAAATAAGAATTTTACAATATTTCCTTGTTTCTATAAACATAGAATTACTCTTGAAATATACATACGTAAATGTATATTTTTTATTATATGTAACTTTGCTAAGCTCATCTCAGTGAAATCATTATATTGCTGATATTTAAAAATTATGTATTTCCCTCTACGGAAATACGCTAATTTATTTTACGTAGACATAATATATACAAAATATAGTCGCAGATAAATTAAATATTAGATATTAAAATGCAATTCCTGTACTAATTTTATATAAATATATACACACAAGATGTCGTAAAAACCATAACACTTAAATGGAGATTCCTGAGATCATTTTGAGACGAAAATATAACCAAAATAATCGAGGCTATAATTTTTCAGTATAACAAACATCAATAGTTTTAAATTTGCATACGTAATTTTTATATCGATTTCAACAAGAGATAACAATTAGCTTACGCTTTAAGCACTTTGTATTGTATCACACCTGAACGTGCAACTTTAATGATTCGCTAACTTTAAATTACAATTCAAAAAATATTATAGTATATTATAAATATATTATATCAAAAACTATCATATTATAAATATATTATATCTCGACATTTTGGTATTACAATTTTCGTCTTAATATTCTCAAAAGTCTACTTTTAAGCTGTTATAGTCTTTATCAATCGCCCTGTATATATACCGAATTGTTTCAGAATTTCGATGCTAATTGATATAATTAGTCGATTCGTGGACATAAACTTAGAATTCTCAACTTTTAGGAACTCGATTCAATTGTATAATTGTGGGTCACTTGTATGTGTGATTGTTTCTTTATGCCTTGATTTAACCTAGCTTTTATATAAAATGACCAAATCTGAGGTTTATTCAATGCATAATAACCTTATATGAAATAACTTATAAATATCCACCAATGTAGCCGTAAGAACTACATCCTTTATACACTATCGAGTATGCCAAAAGTTCCTCGTTTCATAATCTTAGAATTACTAAATTTATTAATTATATTACCTATACGAAATAATAATAACGACACGTACATTTACATTAACAAATTCTTACGTTACATTTCTTTAAGGATCTTTAATTGTCAACCATATTGATGTTAGAGCCTACCTCATATTGTGTAAGTGCGATAGATCAGGAGCCTTGAACTTGAATATTGTGTTAATTTTGTATCAACGTCGATTAATTTTTATCAACCGTACCCTGGAGTGCTTAGATTCGTTATGATAAAATTTCATATTTTCCACTTATGGACAGTGATGTGTTTAATCATTTGCAGTATATTAATATGTATAAACGGAATGTCTATTATAACAGAAATTAGAAAAAGATTGGTAGACTAAATTCTGAATTTCTTCATTAATTTATAGTAGAAAGGCTAATAAAGTTAGTTTACAAACATTCAGCAAGAAAAAAAAGTATATTACTGCGCAATTCGCTATTAAAGAAAATTCAATATAGATCAAAAGAAAGGTGATGATTATTTTAGAAAAATTGTACATATTGATACAAATATTAACGCTCCAAGAACCATGATTTCTATCTACAGAGTGTCGATAAAGTCTGTCCTCATCTCCTATTTTCGAAAACGATTTAAAATTATAAATGACTGCGAAATACGTTTTCCACAAAACTATTTTTAGACTTGACTAAGCCAGATGCAATTTATAACAAAGTTTTTTATTTTTCTCTGCATACGAACATTTAGCCTAATATACCATTTCAATGAACTAAATACCGAAATATTCATAACCTATATTTGTATATGAATATATATCTTATTTCTCATCATTACATAATACTAATGACTAGACTTCATGCCGTGTTGCTATTTGTACTCGTACAATGGTGCCGCTTTATCTTTGTCTTCCATCACAATAATATCCTTTTTGGCAAATGTTGCATTGGGAAACAGTATAAACTCGAAAACGTTCAAATAGCAACGTTCCGTTGCAGGTACAATCTATTTCTTCTGATTTTAACAACTTCCTGTATTTGCGCTATTTAATAGTTAAAATATGAAAACTTGTGATATGCCACATATGTATACATCGACTAACAATTTTTGCAATACCGATTACGTAGCTATATGCATTTATATATATATATATTTAAATATAGGAACATTTATTACTTGTACAACGATTACAAAAAGTACATTCACTTGTTAATATTACAACAGAATATCCTTTCTATTGAGACCATAATAACCGTGAAAAGTTAATATTTCATTAACAAGAGCTTCAACGTTATATAGTTTGTACCTGCTAATCGGTATGCTACATGAGTCATGTCATTTAGTTTTGCTTGAAAATGTCAGTCTTCATAATGATGATAAGTTGAAAATTTTATCAGAATCCGATTATTTATCACAAGGATAAAGACACTATGAGATGTACACTTGTACAGTAAGTTCAACATTCTTACGACATACGCCGCATATTTTCATATTTTTCGCACACTCTGCACACGCCAATAAATGTCCGCATGGCATAAATACAATCCGTACTTCTCTACTATAGCAAATTTTACATAATCTTGCATCCTTGTCGCATGGTTTGTCACCCTGTGATTGGACAGATTGTTCCTCGCTTTTAGCTTCACCTGCTACAGCACTTGCTTCTGTATTATTATTAGTTATTTCAGAACTGATTGAATTTTGAGAACTTCCGCTGGCAGTACTCTCAGCTTTCTCTAATTTTTCATTCAATTTATCAACTGCAGTTGATACGTTTTCCTACGCGAAAAAATAAAACAATTTAGAATTAATTATTATTGCATTCAACACACAATTTCATAATTAAAATATTTATTATAAATATTTTAATTATACAAATTGTATAATTCTATTAATATATTTTATTAAATGCTTACTGCTCCGATATACGTTCTCCCTGTAATGTTGCTCACAAACTCCATTCCTTTAGTCAAAAGCAAATAAGGACAGTATTCGAACCATTTGGCATGCTCCACCCAAGGATCATCATTTGGCTCCCAATCCCTTAATCCTCCACCGCAATGATAACATAATGTTTGATCGCCACTTCCAGTATAATAAAAACCAGCAGTTGCTAGTTCTTCTTTAGTTTGTGACATTGCTTTAGGCCATCTATCATACGACGCTAATCTAGCAGCATAACTAGCGTATTCGGGATGCTTCGGTCTTGATGTTTCAGTGAATTCTTTCAATGTAGAATTCATTTTTTGTTCAATTTCTCGATCTTCATCATGATCTGGACCGGAAAAAGGCATGTATATTGAACCATAAGGTCCACATACATCTACTCCTTTAGGTACAGGCGCCGGAATTGCGCTAGGATCCGTACCGATCGGCACATTGCCGCATGGAATTTTACGAATAAACCTACATTTTCCAGACCACCGCTGATGATCAACCATTGGATTGTCTTCTTCCCGCCATTGACATATTTCTATATTACATTCGAAACATTTCACTTTATCGCTTTCGCCAGTATAAAAAAATCCAGCCGCCGCGAGTTTCTCTGGCTTTGTCCACGAACATGGCCAGTTTTTAAAGCTGGCCAAACGAGCGGATTCAAATCGATAATCTGAAGACATCGAGGATCCATTATCAACTTCATCTTCTTCGATAAATATATGAGACTTTATTGGTGATTTTCGTTGCAAATGGTTTCGAGGAAAGATACATTGTTCGATATATTCGGTCATTTTTGTAATATAGTTATAAAGCTGCTTTTTGTGAGCCTGTAAAAAAATTAATAAATGTCAATAGATGCTGAAATTTTATATAATAAAAATTCATTTAACAGTTTTACTTCATTAATAATCTTAAAACGCTCGTCTAACTTAAAACAAAAACGTAGTTCAAGGCTTTTTTCGAGCAATAATTTTATTCAATATTTAGTTCATCTTAATACTATGTTCAATTCTATTTAGTTGTACAAACCACGCAGTTTTTTACAACCATTAACAAATCAGGAACCTAATAACTACCATTTACATCGTACTACCATTTATACGTGTAAATGGTAGTTATTAGGTTCCTGATTTGTTAATGGTTGTAAAAAATTACGTGGTTTGTACAACTAAATAGAATTGAACATAGTATTAAGATGAACTAAATATTGAATAAAATTATTGCTCGAAAAAAGCCTTGAACTACGTTTTAGTTTTACTTCATATTTGTACATATTTGGGACAAAATGTTGATAAAAATACAGTAAAAGCGCTTTATCCGGTACTTGCTAATGTTAAATTATGTTGGAAAAAAATAGCAATATGTTAATATGATATTTTTTGTGTCAATTTACTAACTATTTCTGATTGAATTTGTTACCACTGCTGGTATATTGTGGACAGTTTGGCTTATTAGCAGACATTTATTAATTAAATTCATTGATTATTACGAAAATTGTAAAATGGCAAAGGATTTTTCTATTTAATTTAAACTTCTTGCTATCCACGAGCGGTGTTAAACTTTTTAAAACATCCTGTATGATATTTAAAAAGTATTATAGCCTGGACATCACAGGTAATATTTGAAATATTTTTCTTGTCTCTTTTCTTTTTGTGCAAAAAAATACCAATAAAAAGTATAAAAGACTAGAACCATCAATTTTACGATTAAAAGGAAGCACACCAGGTATAAAATACCTTCGAGATACGTGCTTCCTGTTTAAATATTCATCTCTGTTGAACATTCAAGAAATACCAACGTCTGAAAACACATCGAGATGGATTTTGTAGTTTAATATATCGATGTTGAATAGCGATAATAATATAAATAATTATAATATATAACAATAATGAATAATACAAATAATTAACTATACATGTTTTTTTAAAGTAATTACTTGCATAGAAGATTTACACCTCAACCTCAATTTTCATTGTTCTCTTTGATGATTTACAATTAAAATTAACATATTGATAATAATTCTATATTTTTTTTAGATTAAAATAAGCGCAAAATTTTTTCTTTAATTTCTTTAAAATAATTTTTGGGGCGTATATATTATTTTTTACATTTCACGCGAATGTTAATAAAATATAATAGCAATAACATTTTCGAACAAGCAATAATCATAGCACACTTGAATCGATATTTTAAACAGGAGAAACATATGCCATAAATGTCTCCTATAAGTATATACGTGCAAATTCATGTATTATTTTTGCATATATATATATATATTATAGCGAATGTAATCTAACCACAAAACCATTGTTATCAACAAGAAAGTCGACTTCCTTATAAACTAGCAATGTGTTCGGAAGACTTACAGCTGTCAGCTGCGACACCCGGTACATCGAATGCAACGTTGCCGCTAACGCGGCCTCTATTTCTGTTCGTCTTATTACATTACACGGGAACGCGACGCGTATCCGCGGAATGAATTGTGAACGGTAGGACCGTCTGCAGGCAACGAATGTGCCCCGGTCTTCATTCCATTTCGAGGAATGAAGACCTTTTCTCCGTTTGGGACAGCGAGAGAAATATCTTTAAAATTTTTTTAAATAATAAATCTCGAGAAACTTCGAAACGAAAGAATACTTTATCAAAAAAATACTTAGTGATGTTTAGTACATTAGAAACTTCAAATCAGCGAGTTGAAAATATTTGAGAATTATTTTGTGAATTCTCACGTTAAAAAGTATCGACAATCCAAAGTATTTAGTCGCATGAAATAAGTACAGCCTGTGTTGTAACAGACATGGTTTTTAGAAGGGAGAGTCTGCTGGATCTTAAGTTAAGTTCTGTAGCAACATTCCACAAGTCCAGATCTACAATGAATCACTAGTCTGCAGTCGGGAAAGAGTCTGAAGGGCAACTGATGAATCAGGATTAGTCGAAACCGGAAAATTTGGGAAGTTGAAAAGTACCCAACCTCTAAGGCCGCAGCGACTGATTAACTGTAGAGACCGCTAGCCGATCTTGTGGAATGTTGTTACCAACACCGTACTTGAGAAAGAGAAAAATCTGGGCGCCAGAAATTCCACAGGTCTGACGACAGGAAATGTCTCGGTCATGGTATCGTGAAATTGCATAGCTTAACGCGACTTAACAAGACTTTTGTTCAACATACAATACGGATATTAGTCTCGCCAGTGTCGCTCTAGAGAACGTCTTTTCTGTCCTTATTTGTTGCAGCCAAGGCGCGTCACGCGTCGGCGTTTCAGTAAAAAAAAAAAAGACCTTGCAACGTAGACACATGTCTGTGTCACATTGCATTGAAGATTGGGGATTGCGAATTGAAGATTAGAATTCGACCAATCCGATAATTTTAATTCATTTTGTTCTAATTGGTCGAATTCTAATCTTCAATTTACAAATCTTACAAGAACATGTCTTGCCAGTCTTATTCTGCTTAGAATTGATCCGTTATTGTGGCGATATATAGGGTGTCGTCACAAAACTCTCGACAATCATAATTTAGAGTGAAATTATCTATTGGCTAAGAATCGATTAGATGTCTTCACGGATTCCTTTCTTTATTCTTGGTGTCAACTAACTAATCGCTTCGAATTAGACACAATAATAATCATTATTTGCTATTCAGTTTTTAATCTTGAGATTCTATTTGAGAGTTCTGTGAAAAAACAGTCTTTTTTTTCACAAAAATTTCCTCTCATTTTATTCGTATCATCGTTTCTTACTAATTTTGCTGAGGTCAGTCATTATGAATCAATCGGCGAATAAATCTGAGAATAAATGCACAAAGTCCGTGTCTGTTTTGCAATATTTCGTGTAATCGCAAAATGACACATTGATGCCAACGTCACGTATATGCTATACCGGGGAGACATTTATCGTTCAGACTTCAGAGAATTATAATGACATCAGCGCAAAACCTCCTTTAGACGCTCACGTCTTCTTTATTATTTCCAGCTGCGAGAGAACTGGCAACGTTGCTTATACGTGGGTTTAAGTTAGGTACGTTAGTCGTACAATTGAAAGGTCCGATTCAAAACATCGGTTGAGCTCCGTTGGTTTAATCTTTCAAACTCTGTGTACATTGTAACGTACATAAAATTTTAAAATTTGTTGATCTGTTGATATTATTTAATTCTATCGACATCGTCTGAGATCTAATCTATGTACTTATATAATAATGTATATGTTGGAAAAACAGTCAAAAATTTTGAAAAAAAAATTAATTGTTTTGTATAAATTACTTTGTATAAATTAAAGTGTGCATGAATTCAATTAAAAAAATTTTTAATATGGTTTCAATAAAATGAGGTCTGAATTTAGGTCCTTATTAAATTTTGATAATCCAACAAAATTATTTTCAGATCTGTATCTAAATTCTTAGATACTTCAGCAAAATCGTTTTTTCCGTGTAATATAAAAATATCTGAGACTCGAGAGATGCAGAAAACGAGAAAAACGAGACAACTTATTTTTAATTTTTATGAAATGAATTCAAAGAAATCAAAGAATCGAAATTCTCAACTCAGTCAATGTTTGTTAATTGCGATGAGCCAACAAACATCAACGAAATCAGGCATGAACCTTCCATACATCTCGAACATATGGAAGTGAATGATCTCTAGACGATATCAAATGTCATATCTCTTATTAAAGATTCCCTGTAATGATAAATGACTTATCAAAAGATATAGACAATCCAAATACGATAACTCACAATTATCTTATCCTCTCGAATATAGAATGAAACAGTAATTTGATTCAGAAACATGTTGTCCGTGTGAGACAATAAAGGTTCTTCTTAGAAGCCACAAAGCTGCAGTATACTAGCTTTCAGCTACTTCTTTTGAACATTACAAGAGGTCAAAGTACTGTCACTATTGGAAATCGATCCAATTTAGGCTACGTTTCAAAACTTCCTCTCCGAGGCAAATTTTACTCGACATATGTATAGTACACGTAATACGGTAGCATATAGAATAAAATCTTCCTTGGAGAGGAATTTTGGAATGTAGTCCTAGTAGGGGTATCCTTTTTGTTTGGGTCAAAGAAAATGTACTATCCCTGGGTCTATTCAAACAATAGACAAGAGGTCAATAACCTCGTTTACAAACACTGAGAGAGAACCAAAAAAGATAGAGAAAAAAGATAATCCTTTAAAAGACTTCAAAACCTTAGTTGAAGGTGGTTGACAGGCAGGTAGAAAAGGGAAAGGAAAATACGTGAGGCTTTTCACGTACGAACTTTTGAATGAAATTTTGATAAATCGTTCAAATAAATCGATAATTATTCTATATATTTAAATTTTTTTAATTTTTATTCTATATACATATATTTTTTGTTCCCTCTTTTTCTCTCTAATATCTAATTATAGAATTCCCAAAGTATCCTTTTATATACGTAATGTTTATAAATGCACACATTTAACGACTATTATTCTATCTAGAAAACAAAGCTTTGTGTAAAACAATTTTATTCAACATTTTCGATTAATTTTTTTGTAAAGTCATTTTTTGTAAAATCTCGTTTGCGCTTCTGGGACACCCTGCATTGTCTAATTCATTTTAAATGTGTTAACAATAAGTACGATAAAAGAAATACTAAGAAGAGCCACGAACCAAAACAAATAAATTTAATGTACAATATGATACAGTTGACATTAAATAACATAAAAGTAAAAACAAGATAAAAATAAGTACAATATAATAGACTGCGGAGCAACAAAGAACAGCTATTATGTTCCAAACAAATAACAGTTATTGTGTTTCAAATTTTATGTTTTCTCATCTATTTGAATTTCATATCCGATTGAAATTCTTTGTTCGCCAGATGGTTCTTACCATTTTGCTTTACAACATATCTTATTTTTGTACTGTTCGCAAAAGAATCGTTAGTCAATTTTGAAAGAAATTTTAAAAATTGTAGTCGGTTTATTGCAACTGTATCTCTTTTTCATTTGTTATTCTCCATGTAAGCCGGTCGAGATTAGGTTAGGTTCATAAGGAATTATCTGAAATTATTCCTTTCAAATCTAATTCAAAGAATCAAGTGTACAAAAAGCAAAACATTTTCACCAGTTTCAAATTACTCGCTTTCTCTAAAGGTTCCTCTAACATCAAATGTCAATTACCAATGCCTGTGTTTAGCAGAGAAAACTAATCAGTTAATTAGGTATTTATTTTTAGGATCTAATGGAATATGCCAAACAGATGAGAGCTCGGTGAGCAGTTGTTTTGAATGCACCCCATTGGTTCTTGCCTTTAGATCCAGCGAAGATCACATTAAAGAATCACTAAGCGATTACTTTTTTTCCGTTGAACGCGGCCATTCTTTCTTTTTTTAAATTTGTTTAACGGCTGATCGTTTTATTACACGTTTATTATGCCATATTTGAGTAATAGCTACATGAATATGTTTAAACGTTGGAAAGGACCTAATAAAGAAAGAAACGTTTGTTATTACACGACAAAATTATTTTAAAAGTTAGACAAGCATCTAGCTTTAGCTCATTATTTGTACTAATTTTAGGGCGTTTTTCGACAAGGAATATGTAAAACATAGTGAATCATTAACATCCAACGTTCACTGTGTTACATTATCTCTTTGTTGGAAAACGTTTTTAGTCGTGATTCTAATTAAACCTTGTATTAATCAAATTAATTTTTCTTTTTCCGACTACAAATTATTTCTCTCCCGTTACATGATAGTTCGCTTCCCCGCAGACCCGCCCAGCGTTAGATAATAAACGACGCCGCGCAGCACTGCGTCAAAAGGTACCGATAAAGCGGTAGGGGAGGTAGGGGAAAGATGGGGGAGGGGAGAGAGGAGTGGTAAATGGGAGAGGACATAGTAAACAAACAAGGCAATCGAATTTTATCAGTTGTCATGGTCAACTGTTCTTATCGAATTCGCGACTATTTTAATTTTATACCCAGCTTTTTTTTTTCTTCAACCGTCCCGGATGTACTTATCCTACTTTCTCGCGTGAGCGTCAGGCAAGCGTTCATACAGATGGTAAAAGAAAACACAAGGAAGAGAAAATAGCAACTCTCGTGTTTTTTTTTTACAAGTTATCAAAGAATATGACACGTTATGGTACACTGTGAAGAAACGTACCCAAAAATCGATTCGGACGACCAGACAGCCGTGAACCGCTACGCTTGTCTTTGTCTTTCCACGCAATTTCCACGCCACGGCTTTGTCCCTCAGCTCGATCCGTTCCGACCCGCTCTCTCCATCGATTTTGCAACCGTCTTATTTCGCGACTCGTGTCGTTTTGCGAACGTCGCGTTGTTGTGCCACACGGAGGGTTTCGTTCGCAAAACGAATAGCTGCCCGTTGTACTTGAGGACAACACTCACACGAGGCACGCGGTAGACGGATAAGACACGAAGGTACGTCTGCTCGCGGTCGCGTCGAATCACGAAGCTGCACGAAATAGATTCCAATACGAGCCTGACTGAGGTCGCTGCTCGCTCGCCCTGCGCCGCTTCAGGAATTGTCCGACGCTTATCCGAGTCGCTGCAGTCGCTGTAGCGCCAGTACAGTGAGTATGTATACACAGCTCGAGTGTTAAGGCTCTGTGCACAACAGCAGGAATAAGGATTAGGGATAAGGAATAAACGATTTCAATTTATCAGAAACCGTGTATTCCGATGTATCCAATTTCTGATAGGTTAAAATCGTTTAATATTTGTTCCCAATCTTATTCCTTCTATTGTGCGCAGGGCTTTAAGCTATCTCGAAAATAACGATCAACTGCCTGTACTGTAGCACAGTTGGCTTATAAAAGGCCGAGAGGCATTTCTACCAGTTTCTCTTTGCTCGGTCAGGCTCGGTGTCGTCACAATACCGTATTATAGGATTATAGCGCGATATGGCCGGCACTGCCAGTTTTATCAACGGTAGTAACTCGTATCGTATCCCCCGCTCTCTCCCTCTCAGCGGGGTGTGACGCAGTGACGCCACTAACGTCAATGGCGTCTGGGCGAGCCGTGTTGGCGTGTTCACGACTCAAAGAATTTTCAAGTAGGATCGTCACGCGTGAAATTATCTTTTCGTCCTTAGTGTGCCCTTCGTGGTCACCTCCAGTCCAGGAGATCCCAAAAAGATGTGAAGCTTTATATTTCCAAGATCTTTTTTAAAACGGGACTTACTGCCATTTATCCAAAGTTTATTGTTCCTTGGACGTCAGCCATTGCGGTTTTTTTAAATATGTTAAAATTAAACATTTTTTTAAGCCACTGCATTTCTATATTCTGCAATATTTAAAGTACGTTCAAAGTCGTTTTTGTGATTTTAAAAAATAAAAGCTGTAAATATGGTAATCAATTAAAATGATAAGGTCATTCATTTTGTTCCCTGTGTGACCACGAAGGGTTGAAGGGGAAGTAATATACGTGAACTATGAGTTCAGGTACTTTTTTTATGCTCGACGTTTCTTTTTAGCGTTAAAACAGATCACATAATAATAATTGACGAATATCAAGTGTCAATTTTGCGCTAACGTGATCTATTTTGACGCTAAAAATGAGCGTCGAGCGACAGCATGAAAAAGTATCTTTACCGAATATTTAGCTGAGAGTTTATCGTCGCCAGCAATCGGCTATTCGGCTATCGTAACTTATCCGGTTTACCCGGTCTTACTTCTTACAGCATTCCTTGCTGTTTTTGTGTTCTTCTCCCTTTTGTGCCTTTTATTGCCGATCCGCTCACTATTTACCTTCACCTTCGAAAGCCACAAGAGACTATACTTTAACATTCCTGTAGGGAACAAATTTAAACATTTTTCGTTTTTTTTTGGTTTAGAGTGAATCTAAATTCCATCCAAAAATGTATATACTTTAATTAAAAAAGATTCTTTTTTAAATCCAATTGTTTTTTATCTATAAAGCGGTATAATATATTGGCAAACTTTTTATAAATTATATTTTAAAATCGTTATGAAATGCGAATGGAATTCACGAGCTTTTGCTCGTTCTTAGAGTCTTAACTTTATTTTGACTGAAATTTTGTTCCTAACATATGATATGTATTCTGAGAATAAGATTTTACTGCAAATCTAATTCATACAAAAGTGATATGTAATGACTGCCACTGTGTATAATTATAAATATTCTCTAAAATTAAAGTTTCTTCTGGCTCCATTTTCCCTTTTAGATTCCACTCTAAAAATTTAGAAAGTAATTTTGCCCTCGACATTTTTATGTTATTTTAATATGTTACTTAATTATATAGTTTTTCTTCATCAAATCTCAACCAAAATAAGATTTTTATTCATATTTGAAAATCAATAAATCTAACGACAATAATCGCTTGAATTTTTTAATTAAGAAAAACCACTTTACAAAATCTCTCTCTCTCTCTCTCTCTCTCTCTTTCTCATTATCATGTCAAGAATTTATTTCAAAGTTATCGTTAAAAGTGCCACGGATAATATTATGATTTTTCCTACAATGACTTCCACTTAATGTCCTTATTATGATTTTGTTTTCTGAAATATAAAAGTACAAAACACGAGAAAACACACGTTATATTTCTTTTAACGTTGCGTTTTTGGAGTTCAAGGGAAAGATACAAATATCGAAAACAAATTCGATACGCTTCATCTGCAGTGACAATCGAGGAATTTGAGTAATTTGCTCGTCGTATCTACTCAGGGCGTTGATACGTCTTGATACGGGTCTAACGGCCATGGAAAGTTGATACATACGCTGACGCATAGCAGTGGCGGCGAGAGGGATGGGCTTGCTGCGAGTAAAATCCCATTGAAGATTTCATCAGGTATAAGTATTTCCGATACGCGGTTGCTCAATCAATTGAATGTACATGCCACGTCGCACAGTGATGCCATGGCAGAAAAAAATTATTCTTCACAATTTTACCTTTCTAGTCAATCGCGCTATAAGAATAATGTTTAAAAGTTTTGAATATATCAGTGTGATTGAATTGATTTCTTCTTTTAATCTTTATTTTCATAATATTTTAACCGAAAATACTATTCAATTTTAAATATAAATTCTTCTCAAAAAACAATAAATAAATTATTATATTGTTATTGCTATGAGAACATCTATCTTAAAAAATAAATAAGTTTTAAATTGAAAAAGATTTCTTTGCTATCTAAGCTTCTCTAAAATATGTGTTTTTTGTTCAGGACGAAAGGTAATCTTTCTAATTTTAAGTAATATTAATATACATATTCGAAAAGTCCCGGATCCTTTAAATATCTTGAAAAGTAAGCATTTCTGAGAAAAATATTTCGTACAAAAATTGTGTGGTTTAAAATGATTTATTTACTGATCTTATCAATTTGACCATGAGTGACGTCGCCAAGGTCAAGTTAAGGTTAAATCGATTTTTTTTAATGGAACACTCTATTTTTGATGCCAAAATTTAATAGCTGATATAAAAATTTAAGCTTTTCAAAACACTATAACAAAGTTATTTTTCATTAAGTACTGTTCGAGTTATAAGGCTCGAAAGTTACTTTCGTTATTAGTAACGTCGTTCAAGACACCTTTGAAAAAAGCCGTTGGTTGTATAAACTTGATGTATATTTTTCAATAAATTACTGTCTTTAAGTTAAATAAAGATTTAGAAGTCTAGAATATCTACAATAGAAAAGATATATAATTTTTTTCCGAACATGCATTCTGTCACGTACGCCCGACTTTATTGGAAGCAAAATTTCGTGAACAAAGCACATTGTTGCCACGTGATCAGTATACGACAAAAGATTCGAAAAGAAATGCGAACTTCCCTTAAGCGACTAAAGCTTGTGTCGAACAACATCCGCGCTGCGGGTGACTACTCTGTGGTGGGTCCATTATTTTTAGTTTGCTTTCCGTTTTCTGCAGGAATAAAATTGTGACGTATAGCTGTAAGTACAAACGTACTAGAGATAAGAAGAAAGAACTCAAACATGTTTCTAAAATCCAGGAAATTCTATATGGATCTACCACTTAAAAAAAGAATGTTCCGCATTTACCAGATTATTAGATTCCAATATTATCTAAAATGGAACTTTTGGTCGTTTTTAAAATCTTCCTTTTCTTTTTTTCTCTCTTAATGTTCCACCGACAATATGTTGTACTTTAAAAACACAGTTGACTTTTTTTATTGTGAATTTAGTAGATTTAAATCCATTTAAAAAATAAAATACAATTCAATTTTATGATTGTAAAAACTTGTTGTTAAAGTGTTTTTTCTCAAGTATGTAAGAAATTTTCACACAAAAACGTTCAAAAAAATAAATTTCTTAAATATTTTTCTTTCATTTCTTTACAACAAATTTGCATGATCATAAAACGGCAAATTAACAATGTTATATAATATATGTAACGCCGCCGCCGGGCTGTCGAAACAAACCGGCGTGTCACATATATGTGATGCGTGGCAATGAACATGTTAAAACAATTTTATGTACAGGATGTTCTGTAATTAGTGTAGGTCCGGAAAAGGGAAGGTTCTATACGAAAAAAAAACTGCAGATTCTTAAATAGCCTGAAATACAATTGAGAATAGACAATAGGATCGGGAGAAAACAGATTTCAATCCAACGAAATTTTCTAGTACATATACCTGATTCCTGACAAATTAAAATCAATATTTCTTATATTACCTGTGCTTTTCAATTGTATCTCAGGCTTAAAAGAAAACTTTCGACTATAAAATAACATACATGAAAAATCGAAAACGTACAATAAAATTTTTTATGAGGGTAGCAAATTAACGTTATTTGTCGATCGTTATTTTAATATTAAAGTGATCGACATTCTCAATTATATTTACACACGATGAATTTTATTATTTTAAATTATTGAAAATGTTGCCCATTCTGTCGAATACACAATTCGTAAGTCAAGGCGTAATTAGTAAGTGCACGCGTCCTCGGTGAATATTTGAAGTTGATCAAAACAGATACCACGCTGACCGTCAAAATGATGACAAACAACAGTTTGCTATTTATAAATCAGAGCACACAGCACACGATGGATTTTTCGGTTCATTTTCAGCTTAATTTTCCATCCTATGTATTGCCGATCGGCATTTACAAGAGCGCTCAGTGAACTCTTCTCAATGAGAAATGAGAATGGAATCGACATCGAATCGATTCGACATCGAATCCATTGTCATTTTTCACTGGGTTGCATCTGATTGGCGTATTCCGTTAGATTTAAAAATGCAGACCAAACAAGTACACAAGAGCTCGAGCACTCAATAAGCAGTCATTGTTCTGAGTGCACATGTACCGGTACCGACAAATATTTCAGACAATTTTCCCGGAAAAGCCTTACGAAAACCATTTACGAAATCCTCTGCATGTATAGGATATCTTATGATAATGTATCAGCTCTCGTGAGCAGGTATAAACAGATTACTATATCTAAAAAAAAATCTTTAAAAAGGATCACTATCTTA